GATAATTATTAGGACCAAAGACCTTCCTTTCCTGAGCAATTTCAACTGTAGGCACTCATTTTTATTTTTGTTTCAATCAAAACTTTCAAATGATTTTTTAATATTCAATAAAGGATGCATGTGAAAGTAGATGCTGTCTTCGCTGCCCATTTGAGTGTAGTGAGTCGACAGGCGCATCAAAAGAATAAATCAGTCACCGACTAAAATTTGGTACTGTCCACTTGGCATCATCTAGCTGTAGCATCTTATGAAATAAATATCTGGAAAAGTCAACGCATCGTCACATCTACATTTTATAACTTCAGGATAATTTAAGGTGACTCAAGTAAGATGAGAGGAAGAAATGCAGAGAGTCGTTTTAGTTAAAAATTCTTTGAAGTAAAATGTTGTCACATAGAGGTAGCATCTTTCTTTCTTGTTTCAACTTTTATTTTAGACACAGCGGGTACCTGTGCATGTTTGTTACACGGCATACTGCACCCAGGTGGTGAACACAGTACCCAAGAGGTAGTTCTCCAACCCACGTCCCTCTCTAGTGTCCACAGTGTCAATTGTTCCCATGTTTATGTCCCTGTGTGCTCAATGTTTAGCTCCCACTCACAAGTGAGAACATGTGGTACAAAGTTTTCTGTCCCTGCATTAATTCATTCAGGTTTGTGGCCTCTAGCACCATCCATGTTACTGCAAATGACATGATTTTATTCTTTTTATGGCTGCATAGTATTACACAGTGTCTGTGTACCACATTTTCTTTATCTAATCCACCACTGATGGGCGCCTAGTTGATTCTATGTCTCTGCTACTGTGAAGAGCATGGTGATGAGCATACGAGTGCATGTGTCTTTCTGGTACAACGATCTATTTTCATTTGGGTAAATACTCAGTAACGGGACTGTTGGGTCTAATGGTAGCTCTATTTAATGTGCCTTGAGAAACTTTCAAGCTACTATCCAGTGGCTGAACTAATTTGCGTTTCCACCAAGAATATATAAGTGTTCCCTTTTCTCCACAGCCTCTCCAGCATCTGCTGTTTTTGGCTTTTTAATAGTAGCCATTCAGACGGGTGTGAGAAACTGTCTCACTGTGGTTTTGATTTGCAGTTCTCTGGTGATTAGTGACGTTGAGCATTTTGTCACATGATTGTTGGCCACTTGTATGTCTTCTTTTGAGAAGTGTCTGTTCATGTTCTTTACCCATTTTTAATGGGGTTTTTATGGTGTGCTTGTGGATGTAGTTGTTCCTTACAGATGTCAGATATTAGGCCTTTGTCATCTGACATAGTTTGTGAATATCTTCTCCTATTCTGTAGGTTGTCTGTCTGCTCCATTGATGGTTTCTTTTGCTGTGCAGAAGCTCTTTACTTTAATTAGGTCCCGCTTGTCTATTTTTGTTTTTGTTGCAATTGCTTTTGGAGACCTAGCCAAAAAAATATTTGCCAAGGTCAGTGTTGAAAAGGGTATTTCCTAGGTTTTCTTCTTAAATTTTTATAGTTTGCCATCTTACATTTACATCTTTAATCCATCTTACATTAATTTTTGTATATGGCAAAAGGTATGGGTCTAGTTTCATTCTTCTGTGAATAGCTCAGCCGTTATCCCAGTACCATTTCCCCATTGCTTGCTCGCATTGGCCTTGTCAAAGATTAGATGGTTGTAGGTGTGTGGCTGTATTTCTGAGTTTTCTATTGTGTTCCACTGGTCTGTGTGTCTGTTTTTACACCAGTACCAAGCTATTTTGGTTACTGTAGCCTTATAGTGTACTTTGAAGTCAGGTAGAGTGTAACCTCTGGCTTTGTTCATTTTGCTTAGGATTGCTTTGGCTATTTGGACTCCTTTTTGATTCCATAGAAATTTTAGAGTCATTTTTTTTCTAACTCTGTAAAGAATTACATTGGTAGTTTGATAGGAATAGAATTGAATCTGTAGATTGCTTTGGGCAGTATGGCCATTTTAACAATATTGATTCTTCCAATCCATGAACATGGGACATTTCTCCGTTTATTTGTGTCATCTCTGATTCCTTTCAGTAGTGTTTTATCGTTCTCCTTGTGGAGATCGTTCATCTCCTTGGTGAGCTGTGTTCCTAGGTATTTCCTTTTGTTTGTGGCTCCTGTGAATGGGATTATCTGCTTGATTGACGATCAGCCTGGATGTTAGTGGTATATAGAGATGCTGGGGTAGCATTTTCTAATTGATAAGATGCTGAGCTCTCCCAGACAAACACATCGTTGATGGCAGTCGAGGCTCTTTGTGGACATTGGGCAGCCTCAGTCTCCACATCTGTGAGGTGGGTATGTGGTAGCATCTTACAGGGTGGCGGAAGTCTAGATGCAATTCTGTTGGAGGTTGCTGTGAACACAGTGTAGCGAGAGTCATGGTGAGAGGAGCTTGTGACGAGAAGTCTCTGGGCGTGAACGGAAGCTCCTGCCTCACCTCTGCGCCCACACTCCTGAGCATCGCCCTCACCAAAGCTGAGGGCAAGGTTGCCAGCCAGCCTAGGCCAGCTGCAGTTGTTTGTTGCATTGACTTGTGTTATTCCTTTAATTTTTTTTAGGAATTGAAATTCCCTCATTTCAAAACAAAAGTATTATTATTATTTTTTTAATTTATGTGGGCAATGATTTTTTTCCCTAAACCAGTGGCTAGCCCTCACCAGTAAAAACGAAACCCCATATTATTATTTCATTTCTCCTACAATTGTTCTACTATTTCTTAACAAAATTGTAAATGATGTAAAATCACAACCTTTAGTTCATATCCAGAGTATCACAAACTGCAAACTGATGGTTGCTCAGGGTGGCTCAGGGTGCTCACTGCACAGGGCCAGTGGGGGTGTCCTCACAACCTCTGCTGTCTGCCTCTGGTTGACTCCCTTGCAGCCCCATGGTGGTCTCTCTCAAAAGCCCTGGCGTGGGCCTTGCTCAGACCAGCAGCCACTACCCACCCCGCCCTGTGCTGCTGGGCTCCTTAGAGGAGGGGCGTTCCCAAAGGAGAGAGAAGGGAGGGGCACACTGATGGACACTCAGACGTGCTTCTCAGGGGCAGCTGTGCCCCACCAGCCGTGGGACCACTCTGGGTGGCTTTGCTCATTCAGATTAGCAAAACACAGTCATAATATCAACAGATGACTGTTGTATTTCATGGGTTTTGTGGGTGTGGATTTGAGCCTCTGGTTCATGTACGGGAATCTGGGTGTAAAGCGGTCACTTGCTTGGGGAATTCTCTGTAGCTTTTGGCAGAGGCTGAGACGAAGACAGTGTGGCCAACTCCCGCCCTGGGTACTGTCCTCAGTGCTTCCTCTGCAGGGGCCTGTGCGTTACAGAATCACCAATAACACACCTCTTCCCCATGTCCTGAGAGCTTTCAGTCCCAAACCAAACCTTATCAATGATGACCGCTTCTTTTTTTCCTTTGTATCCGAATCCAGGGCAATTTCTTAGCATTAGTTCATAATGACCGTATCAGCAATGTGAGAAAGCTTTTTGCTTCACTTAGCTTTGTTCTCTTCTTCCTCTGTGGGGAGGAGTCCCTGGGGAAGCCTGGTTCCAGGTTCAGAGCTGCTGCTGATGGCACGGAAGACACCGCGGGAGCCATGACTGCCTGCGAGGTCTCCCTTTCCTTGTAGCAGCAGATAAAACCACAGTTTCCGTTGGAATTAGGCAGCCTGGAGCTTTGCTGATTAGGAGTAGGGCAGCCCTAAGCACCAGGAGAACCCGGGCTGGAATGTCTCTAGCCTATCACCAAGTCCTCCCAGCTGCACTCACGCTGCTCCCAGGGAAGCAGGCAGGAATGTCTTGGGGAAGAAGTTGCCTCCTAAAGGGAGGGACTCACTGACAGAGGGATTTAGGACATGAGAGACACCAGGTCCACCCCTGAGTAACTCTTCACTCTGCTGGATTCCAAGTGAAATGTCTGGCCATGCACAAATGATGTCCTGTGACATTAACTGGCAGGGATAACAATTAATAAAGAAGGACCCATCAGATAAATCCTGGACTGAAACATTTTCATGTACTAAAGGAGATTTTTAACAGCTCTAACAAATAACCCTTGCCCCTCAGTGCCGGTTTGGCCGTTAGTGAGTGTGGTGGCTCAGAAAGGATTACCGGGCAGTGGGAATCGTGTCAGTGAGGGTCAGTGCAGGGAACAGAGAGGCCGTGGCTATGAAAGGGGCAGCTGCACACGTGCCCCACATGTCTGCCCGCCACCGAGTGGCCACTCAGGTGTTCCGACATTTATCCTGAGCGTATTCTCTACGTGCATTTCCCCCTTTCACTCCCATGGCCGGCATCAGCATTCTAGAAAAGAAGAATGTTGGACTCACCCTGTCTGGTCTGCAGGCCCAGCCAGAAATCCACTTCCCAAAGCACGTGGTCCCCACAGGCCCAGCAGGTGGCCCCCAGGTCCCCTTGAATCCTGGTCACCTGCACAGAGGACCCGGGCCCCAGGAGGCTGCCACAGCCCCTCTGGCTCAAAGGAACAGCCTTTGACAGATTCTTGACAGATGAGAGACTGGATCCAGGTCGGGTCACCAAAAGTGCTCGCGAGCCCTCATGTGCGGGGGAGGAGCCCCACCCACTCTTAGGGCCTCCACAGGGGTTTGACTGGGCTGGAATTCCTGGTCACTTGCCTACACTCTGTGGTTCCTGAAAGCTAGCCAGCCCTGTGTCTGTCTTTCCAGGGACCAGGTAACTGTCTGTGCTGGGTGCGAGGTGCAGCCTTTCCAACAGGTGATGAATGCTCCTCCAGGGCAAAAAAAATAAGAAAAAGGGGAAAAAGTAGAAAAAAAGGAAAGGAGCCAGAGGGTTTTGTTTTGTTTTCGTTTGCCTGTTGTTTGTTTTCTTTACACCGAAGCCCCGGCACCCTGAGGGCCGTCCCACGCGGCTGTGTGTGGCTAAGGCCGGGGCGGGCAGGCCCTGCCATGTGCTGTCTGCCGTGTGCCCTGCGGCCGGGGCCTGAGTCATCCCTGTCCCTGTCTCCCCAGCGAAGCGGTACTGCAAGGACCCCAGCCCCAGCAGCAGCAGCACCAGCAGCTACGCGCCCAGCAGCAGCAGCAACCTGAGCTGCGGCGGGGGCAGCAGCGCCAGCAGCACCTGCAGCAAGAGCAGCTTCGACTACACGCACGACATGGAGGCGGCCCACATGGCGGCCACCGCCATCCTCAACCTGTCCACGCGCTGCCGCGAGATGCCGCAGAACCTGAGCACCAAGCCGCAGGACCTGTGCGCCACGCGGGTACACGCGCCTGGGCAGGTGGGGCCCCTGGCGGGTGGGGGAGGCGGGCTGCGGGCCCAGCCGCCGAGACACGCGGCGCTTTCAGGCAACTTACTTTATGGTGCGAACGCCCTGATCTCCTAAACCATTCCTGCCACTGTGAACAATCAGTGCAGCTTCCCTTAAAGCAGCCTGAACAGCACCATTGTCCAAAGCGCATCCATTTTCTCCATCAGAGGCAAGGGTCAGATCTTGTAAATTAATGTGCGTCAATGGATCCTTCTCTCCAGGATCCAGAAGCATTTCTGTAAACAAAGAACGCCACGTGGTCCTCCTGTGGTCTCCAGTGACCACACAGAGGATGCACAACGCAGCGTGGACCTCCCTTGAACTTTGACAGGAAGCTCTGCTAGCACCGTTGCCAAGTGAAATGCAGGCATCTGCCCGTGGATTCCTGGGTAGCAGGGAAACAAAGGAAGTAAAAATCAGGCTTCACACCAAGGGATCAGCCGTGTATTTACAGCCAGCACTCGTTAGTTCCACATTTGCATGGGTGCTGTAGTGCTATGAAAGGCATAGGAAGAGTGTCTTATTTTTAATTTCTTATCAATTGAACCAATGCTTCTGCTGGGCGGGAGAGAGAGCCTTTAGGATGCAGCACAGACCTGGGAGAGCCGCCCCGCCGAGGCCACTAGGCGGCCGGGGAGAACCGGGCCGGGCGGTGCAGGGAGCGGTCTGTGTTCTCAGAGACGCTGCGCAGCGGACACGTTCACCTCCTCTCCCGATAAACAAAGGGCTCTCCACTGTGTACCGCTGCCTGACCATGCACCTGAGTGCACAGCACTGACAGTGGTTCTTGTAAATACTTGTAGTTGGTATGAATGAAGAAAGGTCACGTTCTGCAAAGGTTTTTTCTTCTATCAGTATATTTAGTCCTAGATATTGGAGAAGCGTCAGGGGCCTGCAGTTTTCATGGTGACCAAGGTTTCAAAAATGCAAGGTTAGCATGGAAGAGATTCTGTGGCAACCACAAAAAAAAAAAAAAAGCAGAGACCCTTTCCAAATTTGGTTGCACTTTCTTAAAATTAAACTAAGACTGAGAGAATAAATCCAACATTATGAAGCTTAAATTAATATCAGAACTTCAAATCAGAGTGCACTTTGACAAAGAGAGTTCAGGCAGAATGATACTGTATAATTTATCAAGGTAACAGCTCCAGGGATGGTGGTCTCATTCCAAGCATCTTCCTTCTACTGTTGCGTTGAGAGGAGAGAGCTGCTAGACCTTTGAGGAGGCAGCAGCTTTCAGACCAGTTCTGAAATCAAATTTTGCTCAAAAGAGTGTTACTCTTTGGGGCAAAACATGCAGGATTGTTAGGGGTATTTTGATTTTTTTTTTTTTTTAACTTTCTGTCCACGTGTCCCTTCTTCTCACTTTCTCCCTGAGAGGCAAGTGCTGCAGAATTCTTGATGCATTTCTTTTTTTTTTTTTTTTTTTTTTTTTTTGAGACGGAGTCTGGCTCTGTCGCCCGGGCTAGAGTGCAGTGGCCGGATCTCAGCTCACTGCAAGCTCCGCCCCCCGGGTTTACGCCATTCTCCTGCCTCAGCCTCCCGAGTAGCTAGGACTACAGGCGCCCGCCGCCTCGCCCGGCTAGTTTTTTGTATTTTTTAGTAGAGACGGGGTTTCACCGTGTTCGCCAGGATGGTCTCGATCTCCTGACCTAGTGATCCGCCCGTCTCGGCCTCCCAAAGTGCTGGGATTACAGGCTTGAGCCACCGCGCCCGGCCTCCTTGATGCATTTCAAAGCATCCTTTAAAAAATCCAAAAAGCCTTACCCTGGACCTTGTTGTTGTTGTTGTTGTTGTTTAAGCCAGTAGACTAAATTGCAGGTTTGCTGAAATTTAGAGGAGATCAGATGGTAATCACTGTAGTAAAGGTATTTTTAGCTGCAACTGCAGATGTCCTTTCTTAAAATGAAAAATTATTTTCATCATAAAAGTTCTTATTACAGCCAGGCCCAGTGGCTCACACCTGTAATCCCAGCACTTTGGTAGGCTGAGGCGGCCGGATCACTTGAGGTCAGGAGTTTGAGACCAGCCTGGCCCACATATAGTGAAACCCCACCTCTACTAAAAAATACAAAAATTAACTGGGCATGGTGGCGCAAACCTGTAGTCCCAGCTACTTGGGAAACTGAGACAGGAGAATTGCTTGAACCTGGGAGATGAAGGTTGCAGTGAGCCCAGGCCGTGCCACTGCACTCCAGCCTGGGTAACAGAGCAAGACTCTGTCCCTCAAAAAAAAAAATTATATTACAAGGTAAATTTTAGTTTCTTCTCTTTCTTTCCTTCACCCTTCTAATTCTTTTGTTATCCTACTCCCTAATTCTTGAACTATTAGCATCAATAAAACTAAAAGAGAATTTTTAAGCTGATATATATATGTGTTTATACACACACATACATACATACATGCACATACATGTATATACACACATGCATACACGCAAAATTTTTATCTCTTAGGTATTTGTAACTGTAATAAAATTAAAACTAAACACTTTGTAATTTTATTCTGAACAAACTCTAAATCAGAGATATAATAGGACAACAAGGAAGGAGAGAGAGAGGATAGACAGTAGATAAATAGGGAAATGGAGGGAGGGAGGGAGGGTGGGAGCGATGCCTGGATTCTCCAACCAATTTTGCAGCTAAGCATGGGATAGCAGGAATGTACCAAAAGACCAGGACTGTTCACCTTGGGAGTTCAGGCCAAGGAAACAGCAGTGAGGAATTCCATGTTTGAACGCTCCCCTGGCTGATGGCAAGACTGCAGTCTGGGAGGAAGGACCCGTGGTGTTACAAGGTGCCAGGCCAAGCACAGTCACCATGTCTTTCTACCAACAGAACCCTGACATGGAGGTGGATGAGAACGGGACCCTGGACCTCAGCATGAACAAGCAGAGGCCGCGGGACAGCTGCTGCCCCATCCTGACCCCCCTGGAGCCCATGTCCCCCCAGCAGCAGGCAGTGATGAACAACCGGTGTTTCCAGCTGGGCGAGGGCGACTGCTGGGACTTGCCCGTAGACTACACCAAAATGAAACCCCGGAGGATAGACGAGGACGAGTCCAAAGACATTACTGTATGTCCTTTTCATTGAGCCTGTGTTAACTGCCAGACTTTAAAATGGGGCCCCAGCTGAAAGAAGTGCCATTTGCACATACCTTATGAGAAAATATATTTTCTCTTTAAATATGACCTTTAACTGAGGAGACTTAGAAAACAGTTTTTGTTGACCCAGAAGAGATTTGTGACTAACACTGATTAGAGTGAAACTAACTATTGACTCTTGTAAATGATAAAGTTTATTTTCTAACAAATATGTTTTGTTACAAATGATTACTTTAAGAAAACATATAAATAGCATGTGATTTCATTTTTCTGGGTGTCCTGTTGGAACAATACTGGATTTTCCTTGCTGGTAGAGAATTTTAATAGGAGTCTTAGATACTTAAATGGTTAACTGTGTGCTGTTAATTAACTAGCTCTTCAAAACTAAGGACAGTGTCCCTTCTCTAAGAAACCTAAAGTATTCAAAAGAGTTTACTCTAGCCTTGAATTAATTATTCTAGTACCATCACCTAAATCTTTGTTTATGACTGTATTACTTAAACATCTATGTCAAGAACACATTTTTGAAATAGCTACAGTGTTCAAATTCAGGTTATTAAAATAGATACAATGCCCTTTAGGCTTTGAAAAGAAATAAAGAAAAATGTTTTCTTTATGTACTGACTTAAAAGTCTTTGATTCTGAGAACTATGACATCCTCTTTATTCACTGAAAAATGAAATTTATTTTTAGTACAATGGAGAGACCACCATCAAAGCACTAGTGTCTTACAGAAGCAAGGAAATAGAAAAAAAAAAAAAGAAAGAAACATTAGCCCCATGTAGAAATTGGCAGAGAGGGCACCTGCTTATAAGCCTGTTATCTGCATTCTTCAAATTGATTTCAGTATCCAGGCATTGTGAAAAAGAACCAAATCAGAGTGGCAAGCTAAATTTCTAAGTATTTTTTTCTCCTGCAGTGTTGAATCATTACTACCAAATAAGGCATGGTGGTTGAATCTCCAAATTTATTTTAGTTGAAAGTAAAAGCCCTCACAAAATGACAGAAGTGTTTTCATCCTGGATCGTCATGGAAGACAAACCTTCCCATGTAGCTAGACTTAGGAAATGTGTCTGCTGAGCATCGCCACCTGTAGAAACATCCACGTTACTGCAGGTGAACACACAACCAAAAAGGAAATTCACAGTTACTTTCCTCTAAATTGGTCTCCCTTACCCCGAATCTTAAAGCACGTGCTTGCAAAATCCTGACCAATGGTGGGGGAAAGCTTAGCCCTAACACACTGTAGTTCCAGTGTTGAATCTTGCAGGCAAGTGTTGGATAAAGCAGCCCACCCGCAGGTGTGTGCTGAATGCTGAATGAGGAAGACCAAGTTAAACGTAGTCTCTGGCTGCCGGACCGTGTGTGTGTCCATGTGGTGAGCACGGCCAGATGAATATTGAATAAGGGCCCTGACCACTGACAGGTGACCATCATTTTAGTTTAGAGCAGTGGAAGAAAAGCTCAATATGCATTTTCAGAAGGGGCATTATCAGGACAAAGAGGATCTTAAAGGTACAGCAGAAAGAGGTGTAAGATCAGAGGCCACCCCAGAGCCACGAACCGCCTCCCTCAGTCTGTGCGCTGTGTGATCATCCGTGTGGCTCTGAAGCTGTGTTTTGCCCACAGCCAGAAGACTTGGACCCATTCCAGGAGGCTCTAGAAGAAAGACGGTATCCCGGGGAGGTGACCATCCCAAGTCCCAAACCCAAGTACCCTCAGTGCAAGGAGAGCAAAAAGGATTTAATAACGTAAGCATGCTGTGAGGTGAAATTATGAATCTTCTTAATCTTCCCATTCTTTGGCTGATTTTTAAAAACCGGATCTGTATATGCCTTGCCGTTTGAGCATGCGACATTCGCAGCATATAAATGTTTCCGATTGCCGGGTCAGTAGAGTGAGCAGCTCACCGTGCACTTGCCTGTTCCCAATGACGCTCTGTTGGACGGGGGCGTCATTTTCATTTAACCCGTGCATTTTGCCGCTTTTCTTCAGGGTGCTTAAATCCCCTTGCAGACATTGCAGCTAAACTGGAAACAATGAAACTTTTTTAAAAGTTTTTTTTTAAAACATACTTACTATTTTGGCTGTTTTTGTTTTTGTTTGGTGGCAGATGTCCAACTCCAGGGTGTGATGGGAGTGGTCATGTGACTGGTAATTACGCCTCACACAGAAGGTGTGACTTCATTTTTCTCATGGTGGATTCTGTCTTTTCAATTTATTGTTTTCAGCTTACCTCAACAATGCTGTCAAAGTAAAAATGTTGAATTCTGTGTCAACCCTTTAAGTGCTATATGTTGACCTTCAAAAGCATGCTAATTTATGTGTTGTATAATGTCTTTTATCTTCAAATAAACAACCTAAATTTGCAAAATTCTTCTTAAGCATTGAAGCCAAAGAGCACAAATGTTTTATCTTATTTTTTAAACAATTTCTTATTAACAGAAACATTTTCTTAAATTTATATTCGAACCAATTCAGAATTAATTATGAAAAAAAAAATTCAATATACAGCACTTGCCCATTGCTTTTCTGCATTAAACTCTTTAATTTTGGTTTTTATGTTGTGTTTGTTCGGGAGTTATGCGCTTCGCGGTTGACTGACCTGCCTGTCCCGGCCTGTCTTACAGTCTATCTGGCTGCCCCCTGGCGGACAAAAGCATTCGAAGTATGCTGGCCACCAGCTCCCAAGAACTCAAGTAAGATTTAATGACAATAATTCTCTTTTAAAAATCCATGCACTCAGTAGTTCACAAAAAAAAATGATGTGTCATTTGCAAAGAAAAATGTCTGTTAAAAAACATGGCCTGTGCACCCCAGTGCCTTGATATAGAAACGTGATTGAGTCCTCGGAATTTCAGCCACTTTTCCACACAACCCATTCTGCCTTTTCCCCTGACATACCTCCAGCTTGTTCATGTCATATCCTTCCTATCTGGAATTTCCTAAAGCATGAGTGTTTTCTCCAGATGTGCATGCATATGGAAGGGAAATTTTACAGTTACTCAAATTTTTAGAAAATGACTAAATAATCAACATTTAATTTTTAAAATAAATTCATAGGAGTATTTACAATATGGATACTTAAGTAGCACTCATGACAAAATCTACCATCATAATAGCTATTTTCTTAAATACACCATGGTCTTAGTCATGAATACTCTTTAGGACAGTGTCGGCTCGCGGTTCAGGGATCCGGAGAGTCGTGGAATTCAACCAGACACACCTCATTCTAGAGTTTTACCTCCCTCTTCTCTATGCCTGTCATTTTTAAGCATAAATCTGGCAAAAGGGTGAAACACCTACATTTATACTGCCACCCTGAGATTTCCCTCCTTCGCCTAGACATCTCTAGATGCAGGGCCAGACAGGTTCGGAAGAAGCGGGTAGAAGTCACGGAGGGAGTCCCAAAGCCTCCGCACTCCAGGGAGAGCATAGGTGCAGGTGCACACAGGGAAAGAGGGCGAGACCTGGGAGATGCTCACAGTGCGATAAGAGCCAAGAGTCCCCAGATAATCCCTTTAAATTATTGGACATGCCATATCATTATGTCAAATTGCTTGGTTTTCCTTTTGTTTGGAAAAAGCATTGTTATCCACGCAAAGAGAATGCTGCTTTTCAACCCACATTTGATCTCTTTCCCAATCATCCCTCCCCACCTCCCAGACCCCTGACGATAGACCAGGACTGGCATCCCAGACCCCTGACGATAGACCAGGACTACTGCAAAGTGTAGGCTTCTGTTTCACACCCATGTCATCTTTTACAGGATCCCTGTCCAAGGCCCTAGGGCCATAGATCACCTGCTTATGTTCAGTGACTTCCTGAACTAGCTCTTTCGCCACAAGACCCTTGGAACTTTCTTCATGGAATGTAAACGCCTGGAGGGCTTCCTCTTACCTAACGGCTGTAAAGTCTGTAGCCTCATCCAAAACAGTTCCTCATGGACAAAGTAGCTTTAGGATCTCAAAACGACAGCATTAGCAAGAGCAATTCAACCCGCTTTGTTCAGGCATCTTTTGTATGGCTGGAAACCACATTTCCCTCATGGTCAAAACATGACTAACTCCCCTGGGAACTTGGCCAATACATCAGAACATGGCAACATTCCTTTGAATTTCTTGATGAGGGACACTTTGCAAAAGATTGGCACATCTCCAGTTCCAACAGGCCAGCTGTAGACAGGAAAACAACCGCTGTAGAAGTTGCTTCTAGTGTTGCCTCTGACTGGTCAGACACTGCAGGGATTCGTTCTCTTTGGCTTGCATCCCTTCACGTTGGGCTTGGCGGCTTATGCTGGTTTGAAATTCCGGCCAGCTTGCTGTTTCTCCAGCATCAGCACTTTCTTCTTCTCTTACTTCATCTTGCAAGACGGTGTGATGGTCCCCACCTTTAGCATTTTCCGAGGGAGCCGGTTAGCTCTTCGTGCCTTCCAGGGCAGGGTGGGCATGGGCAGCCCCTCCTTCCTGCCTTGTCTTGGAGGGGAGACTGTATCTTCCAGGAGGTGGATGGCCTTTTCCTAATTGTGGTTGCTCAGAAAGCCACACTCGTGTCTAAACTTATCTTTGCAAAAAGTAAATCCTATTCTGATAGAGCCTTTCTGGGAAATCTGAACTTGACTGATTTTCTTAAATGGTCCTTTTCTATGAATGGATCTTCAAAACTAAGAATTTCAGTCAAGCATCTTCTGTAAAAACACTAATGTTTCAATGACCAAATTTTACTTGATGGTATAACCATAGGTTATAATTTCTTTTCTTTAACCTTGTAATTGGTGACACCCTTTATCTGTTACCTGTTGGATCTGGGTCAGTAAGATCTGTTGGGTGGGTTTCTCAAGCCCGGGAACATGGACTGAGCCCCTCATGACTTGCAACAACTTTCTTTAGAATAATTCACGCATGAGTCCTTTTTAATATTCTTTGTGTATATTTTCAAGGGTTTGGTCAATTTGTCCTGCAGCAGCAGCATCCCTGATTAACAGCATGGCATTAAACCATTCACTGTATCCTGCCACAACCTCTAATCATTCATAAACACATGGTAGAAAGTGGGCCCCAATTACCTCTGAAACTCTTCTCTACGTGTCAGCTAACAAATGGAACTTTCTGGAAATTTTCTTCTTGTCACTTCCAACGCTGAATTGTGATATTTGGCCTTTAACAGGACATTCTTGATCATGGACAAAGCAAATTTTCCAGATAAACTCTCGCTCTTGGATCCTCTAAGCTCTTAAACTTCCTGAGATAACACTTTGCCTGGTTCTTACCCAGAGCAGCAAACGTGGGACGTTTCGAAAAGAAAATTCATAACCTCATGTCCAATTACGTGTAACATGTAAACTGAAACTGGATTAAAATTTAATGTGCACCTGAATCTTACTCCAACTCTGGGACTGTTGCTTTCTTTGCTCTGTAGCCCATCTGGTGTTGAAGACATAGCTCAGAGGCTCAGAAGTCAGGAAGGAAGCCCCCAGGGTAAAAGGGACACTTCGGGGAGGCAGACGGAGGAGGGACGCCCAGTTCCGAAAGCCTCTGTGCCTGGCAGACTTTTGCGCATCGATGCTTCAAGGTGGAATTCACCGTCACCTTGTATGCCCTTTCTAGGAGCCGACCTCCCAGAGTCGCCGTGAGCCCTGCCTGGCTGTGATATTCACTGAGATCACAGGCCAAAAAACAAAAAAGAATGCAGATTAGAGTTTTGGGGGGATGAGAACTCTGCCCACCATGAGCTCTGATTCCCTGTAAGATTTCTTCTCGTGACATTTCATTTGCTAGGATTCCCTGAAACAAACAGCAGGAAAGAGCGCTTGCAAAACCTATCGCAGCTGGTCAGCCTTTTCTTTTTCTTTTTCATTGTCTTTAGGAACTGTATTCTCCCAGCCAGGAATTATTTTTTTCTGCTTCCAGATGTGTGTGCCATTGTAGACATGGGCATGGTGTAGGTATAACCAAAGTAAGCCAAATACAAACTGATTTCGATCACAGGGAAGTGGCTCTGAAGAGGAGCCCACAAATCGGCTTCCATTTATGCTTTGGTTGGCCAAATTAAGATTCCTCCTTACTATCCTTGCCTTTATCTTATAATACCAGGAGTCCCGACATTATGTAACTCCTTGTAGGAAAAAGAACCTCGGGCTACTTGTTGGTTTTCCTGGAGTCTGAGCTTGGCCTGAGTCATCCCGGCAGTGAGCGGGTTGTACTCTTGGTCCCTCGGCCTTCGCGACGGTCTCGTACGCTCTGTAACCTCTAAGCTCGTATCCTAGGCATTTTTCAGCTTGAGCATGCAGGAATTTTAGCCACATCTAACACATCTTTTTAACCTGGTTACATGCATTTTAAAATACGTCATAAGTCAAAGAATTAGCATTTTGAACGTGGGTCAAGATGTTGCTTTTTGCTAAGGCTACTTATTTCTAGCCCATCCTGGGGCTTGGATTCTCTGCTGTAAACATAACAGGCACAGGGAGATTATTTGCCAGGCTCTCCTGGAGACAGATGTGAGCTTTGCTCACCCCACAGCTTCCATTGTTAGGGTGCAGGAGGGTCGCCCGCTTTGACTGCTCACCACGTTCTTAGGAATAATCCTCATTTCAGTAATCTTTTGCTTTCACAGTTTACAATAGTCAATCCACAGAACTCTGTGAATTACAACTGGCCTCGGCTGGGGTCTAGTTTCTTTAACAGGAGGCCGTATTTCCTTATCAGGGGAATGAGCTGACCTCTGTGTAAATTCAGCTCTTTTAGGACAGAAAGTTGTGTGATTTCAGCCTCCACATTGGAGGGGATCTGTGTGATCTCCCACTTCCAAGATTGCTCTTGTAGCACCCTCTTTCTGTTATAAAAGATCGAACCATTCAGCAGCTGACTTGGCTCTCCCGAGAGCACCTGGTGCACGTGACCAGCGATGTGCGTGAGTGGGAATATCTCGGGAGAAGAAGCGATGGCCTGGGGTTTCTCAGGTGCGGGTCCCTCCGGCGCACAGGGTCCGCTGGACTCCAGCAAGCGCCGCCCAGGCCACAGGGATTGCGTGCCTGCCCCAGAGCCTTCCTCAGATCTGTGGTGGTCCCTGCTTGTGCTGAAACGCTGCAGGCTTGTGGGGTGCCCGACAGTGGACAAAATGCTTCTGCACAGACTGTCGTCTTCGTGAGGAAAAGGGGGAAGAGGTGCTTAGACCCATTTCACGGATGTGAGAACTGAGGAACGGGTGGTTGGACTGCTCGGTGGAGATGCACAGACTATCAACTGCAAGGACAGAGCCCGACTCAGAAGCTTTCCCACGCTTCATGTCTGCTCCTCGGTCATTAATAACATCACCTTCAGTGTGCTGCTTTGTGATTGAGAATTAAGGGTTTACATTTAGTGATGACTACAGCCCTCCACATGCACACACACACACAGAATTTATTTTTGTTTCCACACTTGGCCTCGTGCAGTTTCCCTGTGACCCGCACAGGGAGCTGAGCTGGGACCCACCGGCGGTGGCCACCTCCCCGGCACTGTGCCACATCCCTGGTGGAACGCTGGCACGCCCACTCCTCACAATCAGCTAAATGCATTTTGAACTTGCTCCTCCAGGGACGCAGTTCTACCATTTATATTTTCACATCTGTAAATGGTTTATAAAGTTTGCACTATGGCATTTACAGAAAATATCCTACAAAATACAGCCTATTGGAGTTGTATTTTATCATAATGAG